GAGTGCTATGCAAAAATTGCGTTTCCCAGTTGAACTTTGACCAGTAATGCCGGTGGATCACATAAATGTTGCCCCTTTCTCATGTCTACCAAAATTTGTAGCATGCATCCTTAGAAATTTGGACAATATAACAAATGGTCAACGGAAAAATTACAATCTACCTTTTCATGTAGCAATACACACGACGAAAACATCTTGTGCAAAGTTGTACTTAAAGAAAACTTGTTCCCATCATATTTTGTTGAACGTTGCGCTTTTGCGTTAGCTCAATAGTGGACATTGACATGTGAAATGTATATAAACAGTTTCAAATTTCAAATATACAAAAATGAGTGATGAATAATTAAGTAATACGTGTTGGACCCGAAGTATTGTAGTGAATGAAATTAATGACGTGATATGAAGTAATGAAAATTACAACGAGAAACAAGATTTAAAAGTAAAAATATTAACAAAGAAAGTTAATCGCAGATATACAATATCTTATTAATCGACAATTCTTGTATGAACAAAATTGAAAAAGAAGATCATTATTTATAGGTACATGGCATAATATAAAGATGGAAATAATATGGAATAAAGAAATAATATATTTCCATAAAAATCACGTAAAATATAAAGAAATAAATTTTCTCACATAAAAATAAGGAAACAATTTATTTTCAAAAAACAATCCACCCTAATTTGGGTCACGAACCCAACAATCTCCACCTTAACCCAAATCCTGGTGCAACGAACGAAACTCCAAGGTTTCAAATTCATCTATATCGAAACAGCCAATCTCCTTAACATAATAACCAAAACTTTCCAAACTAAACCTTTGTCCTCTGCAAAGCGTCCACAAATGACACCTGAACCCAAATCCTGGGTTTCCTGAATTTCACCTAGGAATTACTGTTGACCAAATAGGGTCGAAACACAACCTGTAGCAGAAACCATATCACATGCTGGAGCAGAAGGTTTATTGCTAGAACTGTCGCCTTCAACGTCCCCAAAAGCATTCCAAACATTATTGACATCACGGTACATACGCTCCATGAGTCCAATCTTAGCAAATGAATACAGTGTATCCGTTGAAATTTGTAGCAAAACGGAATCACTAATGCTCCCATAAGTAATGTTCTGAACCAACCCAGAGCCTGTCACAAGAGGTACTATACCAAAATGAACATCCACCATGATACTGAACTTGTCCTGATGTCTCTTAATTGATTCTACGCTTCCCTGTATGATATACAATTGAGACCTTCTCCGTCCCTCGTGTACAACCAGGACACCCTTTCGGACCTTCAAAACTCCACCTCCACCTCCACTAGAGAATTTATGCCATTTTGCATCCTGAATACTCAGTGAGATAAGATTTCTTTTTAGATCTGGAATATGTCGAACCTGATCAATTGTTCAAATCGTCCCATCCTGAAACCTTAGTCTGACTCGACGAATTCCAGCAATATGGCAAGATTGGTTGTTTCCCATCACAACTCCACCTTACTTGACAGCCTCATATGTCTGAAAGAAATTTTGATTGGAACACATATGATGCGAATATGCCGAATCGAAAATCCACTCCTCGTCAGGTTTCGATTCCACATCAGGTACCACAGTCAACATCACATCTCCGCCATCTGAAAAATTCTCGGTAACATTAGTCACATCCGAATTAAAGAATTGCCTCCCATAGTTTGCAGCTAAATCACCTTTAGCCTTCAACTTATTACAATCCTTCTTTACGTGTCCTTTTCTCCTGTAGTAGAATCAGTAAAAATTGCTAAAGTTCATCCTCGATTTACCTCTCCATCGATCACCATGAGATACCAAAGCTTTCTCATCCCTCGATGTAGCTCCAACCTATAGTAAAAGTATCCCGACTATACAAAATGGTATTCCGAAACGACGCATAAGAGCTAGGCAGTGAACATAATAGGATCAAGACAAGATCATTTTCATCGTACCTCCAACGTCTCCAAATCTGCGACAATTTCCTTGAACACAACAATATGGTCTTCCAACGACCCTCTTTCCACCATGCGATGGGAATACGGTTTCTGCTTTAGATCCAGTTTACTGGTAAGACTCTTGGTCATACATAACTGCTCCAATTTCAACCACAAAGCAGCCGATGTTTTCTCCTTCAAGACATCCTACAGAATATTGTTGAATAGATGAAGATAAATCAATGACAAAGTCTTTCGATCCCTCCGTTGTTTATCTTCCATTGTCCAATTAGCTAGCATCTTCTCAAAACCCAGCAACACATCATCCAAATCCAACTACGCTACAATAGCTCTCATCTTTACTTGCCACAAAAAAAACCTTGTATTGCGATCCAATTGCGGAATATCGTACTTCAAATCAATCATCTCTGAAAAACCTCAACTAATCTACAACAAGAACCAACCTTTGATACCACTTGTTGGACCCGGAAGGATTGTAGTGAATGAGACCCGGAAGGATTGTAGTGAATGAGATTAATGACGCAATATGAAGTAATAAAGATCGCAACAAGAAACAAGATTTAAAAGTAAAGAAATTAACAAAGAAAGTTAATCGCAGAAGCACGATATTTTATTAATCAACAATATGAAGAGAAATAAAAGAACTCGACAATTCTTGCTTGAACAAAATTGAAAGAGAAGATCATTATATATAGGTACATGATATAGCATAAAGATGAAAATAATATGGAATAAGGAAATAATATATTTTCATAAAAATTACGTGAAATATAAGGAAACAAATTTTCTCACAGGAAATGAAGGAAACAACGTATTTCCAAAAAAAAAAAAAAAATCCACTCTAATTTGGGTCACAACCCCAACAATACGTTCATTGAAATGTGTGGACAAAATGTTCGTAAACATGAACCAAATGTAGACAAATTATTTTATAGTTGAAATTTGTTTAGATTTCACTTCAATGTAAACTCGTGCTTTTTAAGCATAATCCTATTGCGTAAGTAATTGAGGACAAGCTTCGTTACTTCAAGACATTCAACTCAACTCTATATGCCAATTTTGACTATAGATAAATTATTCGAATCTTTTTTTTATCAAGCATTGTTGATGCCATGTCATCATGTGAGAGTGTCTTCGTATTGCTAAGGGTATAACAAGTGTCAAGCTATGTATTTTGATCACACTGGGCATTGTTCTTATACAACTTATTATTTTTGGTTTTTTGCTTCTGCAAAGTCATATGCATTTTCAAAATAAATTCACCTCAAACAATTCTTCTACTTTTCTATGAAATATCAGCGGTCACTGCTTGAAAAAGGAAACTCGCCTCCTTCTTCATAAGCTCTTCTAATTCAGGCAAGTGGTGTCCTCTAAAAGGGACACTTATTGAAGGTTGTCCTTAAAAAGAAAATGGTGAATTTGTTTTGCCTTTTATGCATCAATGTTGGAGGATGTCTCTTAGTTTCGAAGGATTGCAAATCGACATTTTGGCCCGTTACTTCAACCTTATGTCTTGATTGTGCACCGCTTTACTGACTTTAAAGCATGTCCAATAGTCACGAGTGACGGACCTTTGAGTCTATAAAAGTATGTAAATGTTAGTTACGATATTTGTCTGTTTTTTAAAACCCTTGAAAGCAGCAGAAATAAATTTGTGGAATCGTGTCTAAACACGACAGCAATTATCAACAGTATTCCATTGTTCAACCGACAAGAAGTCTGGCCATCGAGAATTAAATTGCTACAGTAAACAAGTTCAAAGTTTTGAAATATTATTTCTTTACTCATCTGTATAGACTAAAAGCATATTTATGCACATATTGTTATATCGATGGCGATAAATTATGTGACATTATTTGAATTTTATACATATTTTTCCATTTAAAAAAAATAAAACTTGCTCAATATCATAAATACTGTTGACCTCTAAAAATGGCTCTTCCACGTGGCCAACTTGTAGCTACTCCACGTATTCCTCCCTACGAAATGAACAAACTGTCAGGCGCACACGGCCGGAACCGACGGGGGTGGCGGCCGCATACACTCCAACGGTCAAGTCAGGTTTGGGTAGTCGGAACAGTGTCCAGGGACCACACAAATCAATCAGTCAATAAAGGGGGAGGAGGATATATAAACTTGTTATGGAGTGCTATCTATTGAGAGTTTCATTACCTTTGCCTCTGGCCAATCTTTGGGTATTTATAGGTGGTATGAACCGTGGGATGTGGAACACGTGTATACATCTGACGGTATGAAGCGTCTGCTCATAGGCGTCAATCAGCCGCGCTTGTAGAGTGGGCGGACAGTTTGTTTCCCCCGAGTTGAATTGACATAAAGTTGATAAGTCACATCAAATAGCTTTATGGGGGACGTCAAATCAATTTAAACCTTATATGCAGAGCAAATCTTAAATTGGCAGCGAATCTTCTAACGAGGGTCCACTTGAACCCGACCTCGGAGACGGGACACTTCGGCAGATCAGTGACAGGAATCGGTGTACCACTTTGGAGAAGCTTCGGGAGGTCGGGGTGGTCTATTTGATTTCACCGGCTTCGGAGTGGCGAGATGACACTTCGATACCTCGGTACCGAGGCTCATAAAAATGAGGCGTAACAGTAGTCCCCCAAATCCGAGAATGAATATTTATATTATACGTGGATTTGTTTTCCTGACCGGATTGCGGCATGGGGGTAGCTGCAACTTTGTAGAGCATGGGAAGAACGCAGAGCCGAGGCGATGAGCCAATGGTACGCTCGCGTCGGGTACGCTAAAGCGTCATAAAAATTATAGGGACCCGTCTTCACTGAAGCGTTGGAAGGGAGAACCGAGGCGATAAGCAAACGGGGGTTCGCATCGGGTGCGTCCAAACTTTGTAAAGTTGGGGGACTCGTTTCTCGTCGAAGCGTTGGCGAAAAAAGGGGGTCGACGCGTGGGGAGATGGCTCGAACTTCGTAAAGCATAGGAGGGAACGCAGCGTCCGCGGCGATTGGCCACTGGGGCGTTCGCATCGGTTGCGGCTAAGCTTTGTAAAGTCGGGGGAGGAGATCATCTGAGGCGACCCGGAAGTCCAATGATTTGACAACTGTTGCGTGTTTCCAAGGTGACAGTTGGGTACCACGCCCATTCCCCTAGAAGGCTGCTGCGGCCAGTAATTATTATTGACGGCTGTTGGTAACCGAGGCGACGCGTTTCAATTTAGCGTGAAAGCCACAGCGACATCTTGGGCGTAGATCAAATCTGGCGTTTCATTTCAACGGCTGGGATCGAGAATACAACGAACGGTTTAGATTGATCGTATTTGAATTGAACGGTGGAGATTGGATGTCTTTCCTATAAAAGGTGAACTTTGGGGGCTTATCAGAGTTTCTACCTTTGCCATACGAAAGAAACAAAAATTTCTCCCAAATTTGCGACGATTTTCGGCGTTCTACAAGCAACTCCGGCGAGAGAGAGCGATATTTCCGGCGATCTCGCACAATTTCCGGCTAGGAAACACTTCCAAACTCGTAAGTTTCAGTACCCATTTAGACTCTAAAAATTTCTTAACGAATGGCCTCGGAAGGGAGTTCTGGTTTGGGTAGGAGTTTAGAAATAGTGAGGGTGGACGAGCCCATTGTGGCGACCTCCTCAGAAATAGCCGGGGCCATAATGGGGGGGAAAACATGTGGAAGCGACCAGATAGCCCTCCGGATACTTCTGTGCACTGGGGGGCGTCGGACTACCCATCAAAGTTGAGGGAGGCCGACCTTGGTAGACTTAGGACAGAATATAGGATCCCGGACAGTGTGGACCTGATTCTCCCAGGGCCGGAAGAGAGAGCTTGTTACCCAAGGCCGGGCTGCGTGGCCATTAGTGAGGCGATCCTTAGGGCCGGACATAGGCTGCCTATTCACCCATTCCTTAGGTTGGTGCTTAGGTCTTACGGGCTAGCCCCGACGCAGCTCAATCCGAACTCCTGGAGCCAAATGGTGGGCTCCTGGATGTTGTGGAAAGAGGCGTCGTTAGGAGTGGAGCTGCCCCTTTCCGTTTTCCAGACTCTCTGCATACCCAAGGTTACTGCTGGGGGGGATAAGACCCGGGGTTGGTACTACCTGACTTCATGGGGTTCCCACACTCCATTTGTGA